TAGGCTCAAATCCCAGGTCTATAGGTGCTTGTGCAACTTCAGAAGACGTATTTGACTTTTGCAAAACTCGTACACTTAAATGAGGACAAAATGCTGAACTCGAAGACTGGTTGTAAGGATTAAGTAAAACCATAAAGTAGTAGACAAGAGTGGGTCACTGGGTCAGTGAATGCCCAAGAAATGCTAATATTACTATTACTGTAATTAAATATTTTTAGAGCTGTTAATCTTATAAGCTTGAAGAAAAAAGCAACATTATATTTTATAGGGAAAATTGAGATTATGACATCATATTTTCTATTGAGAATCTCCTTATTTTAATCTTTCTGTGCTCAGAATTTCCAAACTATTAGACACGTTTATAAAGGGTGGGGAATTTATCCCATAGGTTTGTATTTGAAGTGCCCAGGGGGGCTGTCTTTAAGATTTATTACTGGGGTCTGGCTGTAGAGGGGGTTACATCTTGAGGAAAAGTATCATGGCCATATCCCATAGGTTTGTATTTGAAGTGCCCAGGGGGGCTGTCTTTAAGATTTATTACTGGGGTTTGGCTGTAGAGGGGGTTACATCTTGAGGAAAAGTATCATGGCCAGCCCCGGTCCCCATGGTCCCAGAGTCAGCAGATAAGTCTCTGAGTACAAAGAAAAGGGCAGAGAGTCAACAAAGCACAGAAAATTGCAAGCCGAGAACGTAGATGCGTGAGTGGTGACTGACGTAAAGTCCGAGGATGCTGGATCCACGCTGGTAGTGGGAAAGGCAAGGGGACACGTGGCTTATCCCACAGAACTCTGCAGTGCTCCGAAGATGAGGGTTCAGGCAACACCAAATACAGGAGACTGGTTGGACGTCTGCTCAGAAGCAGCTAAACCTGTTTTTGTCCTGAACAACCCAGGTGACTACACCCCTCCCCCCTCAGCAGAAAAAAGGAGGTTTATTCTCTAACAAAGATAAAACAAAGTTCTGAGAAACTTCAGAAAGAGTTGAGTTTGTGGGAACCATAGAAAAATGATGGATTTGCATACTGAATATTGGTATTTTCAGCCTCCTTCCTTCTCCAAACAGGGCATTGGAGGTGCATTATCAGTAATTTGACCAGCCCCTTCCTTGAAATTATTTCATGATCTTGACGTCAGGTGGTATCCAGTAAAGAGGTCAATAACATTGCCCTGCAATGAAGCTGACAGGTCATAAATGTGCAATGCTTCTGGTAGCCCATTTTTAAAGATGTGTGAATAGCCAAGGATGTTTGAGGAAATCTTATAATATGAAAGATAAACGCAAAACAACCAAAGAGAACACAATTGTAAGAAACAAAGGTGATATGGAGAGAAGGAAAATTCAGAAGAAATTACTATTAATATCTCATTGAGGTCAGGAGAGATACTGCATCCATGAAACAAAAACAGGGTGCTATAAAAAACGAACATTCAGGGGCTGGCCCGGTGGCGCACTGGATAGTGCGCCGCTTGGGAAGCGCGGCGCTCCCGCCCGAGGGTTCGGATCCCACATACAGACCGGTTCCCGCTCACTGGCTGAGCGAGGCGCGGGGGCAACGCCGAGGGTTGCGATCCGTTGCCGGACACAGAAAAAAGACAAAAGGACAAAAAAATGTTTTTTTTTGGCCACAGAAAGTCATATTGGGTGGATTGGCAGAG